TTTTACAGACTCAATTTCATTCATTAAAAAAGCTTCCAAAAATAATTTATTCTGTCATAAATTTACTTTACTTTACAATACCTGCTTACTATACGATTCTAACCAACCCAACTCTTTCCTGTCAGATTTCACTTAAATAATGCCCATGCAGAGCAATGCTATCCGTGAGCTTCATCCCACCAAACCTCAGTGATAACTTGGATGTCAAAGTTTGCTTCCATGTAATAGGACCTTTGTGCCTTTGTATATAAATACCTAAGAACTTGAGTTTGGGCTACTGTCTCCTTTTTTGGATTTCTTTTATCTTCAGTGAATTTTGGGGTGTCTCTACTGATACATTGGCAGTTTTCTTCTTCCTTTCCCCCCCACCCCCTTGTCCTCCCTGTAAAAAGCCAAATTCCTTTCTAGTCTAGACTTGCTTTTTATGCCCTTTGAAAACTTTCCTGTTTTTGTGCTGGGGTTGGGTGTGTGTGTGTGTGTGTGTGTGTGTGTAATTTTATGTTTAGAATTATTAGTAGGAGGCAAACAGCTTCCCTAGTTGAACATAATTACGATGTGGGGGGGGGGATTAAAGTTGGAACTTAATCAGAAAAGGCCTCCTGGAGGAGGAGGCAGTGATGCTTGTGTGGACCTTTGAAAGAAGCTTGGGATTCTCAGAGGTGGAGGTGAGAAGGAAGAGCAGTGGGATGGAATGGATGGATACAGGCCAGACTTGAGGTTGGGAAGACCTGGGTTCAAATCCCACCTCAGACAAGCTTGTAGGCAAGACAAGTCAATTTCTCTTGACCTCAGTCCTTCAGCTCTGAAATGTGGGGATTGGCCAAGATGGCCTGTAAGGTCACGTGCAGCTCTGAGTGGGTGGGAGGCAAAATGGCGTTTATCAGGAGCAGAAATTAGGCTGGTCTGGTTAGCACAGAGAGGGGAGTGAAGTATAATAAGTTGGAAAGGTAGGCTTTAGCACCAACTAGAAGAGTTGGTATTTTTCTTGGATGCAGCAGGGCATCCTGGAGTTTGTTTGTGTTTAATAGGAGTGGTGTGGTCACACTTGTGCTTTGGAGAGAATCATGTTGGCATCAGTCTGCATTATGGATTGGAGAGGAGTGACTGAGTGATTGTCAAAAGACCAGTTGGGAGACTATTGCAGTAGGAAAACTGAGAAGGGTAGAGGAACTGAGCAAGGGTAGAAGCTCTGAGGGTGGAGAGAAAGGGAGGGGAGGGGAGACACGTTAAGGAGTTGCCCAGGTTTGGTGCAAATTGGCTAAGGAGGAATGAAGAGTCAAGGATGACTGCATGGTTGTAAAACTAGGAGACTGGAAGGATGATGGCGCCCTGGACAGAAATTGGAATGTTGGGAAGAGAGGAGGGTTTGGAGGGAAAGATGATGATTTCTTTATGGAACGTGTTTCCGGCGGAAGCAGCTGCTAGCCAGTTGGTGCTGCAGGATGGGAGCTCCTTCATCTTCCTCTTCTAGAAGGCCTTCCCCCGCTGCTGCAGATGCTAGCTAGCACCTGATACTCTACTGTCGCCTACTAGATACCGTCTGTATCTTATGTGGACCCATTTGTACAGATGTTGTTGCCTTCATTAGACTGAAAAGTCCTCGAAGGCAAGGACTGTTCTTGCCTTTCTTTATATCCTAGCACTTAGTGCAATGCCTAAGACACAGTAAATGCTAATTCATGCTTGTTGATAGGTCAATTGGAGCTCAGGAGAGAGACTCAGGCTGGAAATGTAGATCTAGTTTGATGCAGGGCCTCAATAACTGGGCCTATGGGAGTTATGATATGGCTAAGTGGGCATAGAGAGAGGATAGGATGCAGGGACTTAGCCCTGGACTCTGTGTACCCACAGGGAGGAGCAGGATAAGGCAAAGAACAAATAGAGAGCCTGCTGCAGGAGAAGGAGTGGTCACCAATGTTGGGTGGATGCTGCCGGAAAGGTCAAGAAGGATAAGGGTAAAGAAAAGGAGTGGGGTGGGGGTGGAGTCATTTGTAACTTCCAAGAGCAGTTTCCATTGAGTTGTGAGGCACTGGGATGGCCCCCCAAGATGGCCCCCTTCAGACACAGAGGTTCTGTGACTTCACACAACTCCTCAAAACTAAACCCGTACTGATAGCTGACCAGTATAGAGCTCAGCACTTCTCCGGAGGATCAGGAGAATGGGGATTCACAGTCAGGCAGGCAGGCCTCCCGAGTGGCCAGACTGGTCACTAGATAAACCCTACACTGACGGCCAGGCGCTTCCCTCATGTACTAGGGACTGAAAACTTGGTGGGAGCGTTACAGAGCCTCGGGCCCAGAATGAGGAGCTAGGGATTTGCTAGTCATGAATGAAAGCTCCAGGGATGAGATCTCCCAGGAATTTCTTGACCACTGCAGACAGAAAAGGAAGTGGGGGAGCTGTCTCAGAAAGAAAAGGAAACAGAGGGTGACTGGTCTTGGAGACCAGGGAGTCCTGAGAGATCCTGAACTTCAGTAAGACAGAGAAACCGGCCAGATGATAGGCCAGGGAAGCAATGATGTAAAGAAAATCTTTGGGAGAGGAACCTGTTTCCGGAGGATGTGATGGACGGAATTTTCTGCTAAATATCTAATCACTAGAAGAGATGACAATGAACAATGAGTGTTACTTGAGGGGATCTGCAGTCACCTGTATGTGGCTGCTCCCTCCTGCTTGTCCTAGAAGATCCCCCCAACACAGAGGAGGTTTCTGGACCTTGGTGCTGTTCATTCCTCTGGCAGACATCTACTTTAAATGCTAAGGACCATAGGTGTGGTTATTCTGCCACTCCTTTTGACTCCTTTCAAAGTGGATTCAGACCTGATAACTGAAGCAGTTTGGTAAGCCACACTCTGAGGGTCCTCTGCACCAGGCAATTCTACACAAAATGCCATCACTCTGGGGATCCCACCAATATATGGATCAGGAAGCTGGACAGTGTAGAGTCCTGGGGATCTCTGGGGAAAGGTCAGGGTTGTTTTCATTGTGGAAATACTGCATTGTTATGGTAATGTGTTTGTATTTGGAAATAATAACAAGGGAAGGGAAGGGCAGCCTCTCACATTTAGGAGACACTTTCCTAATAACACCTCGGTGAGATAGACAGTGCAAGGACTGTTATTCCCATTTTACAGATGAGAAAACTGAACCTTAAGTGGGTTATGGCACTTCCACATGTTCACAAAGCTCTGTGTGGGGGCACCAAGCCTCACTTGCACAGCTTTTAGGCCATGGGCCTTCCTACTCCACCCTCCAGCCCGATTTTTGATAACCCTAGGAAACAAATGCAAAAGTGAGACCCGTCTTTACCTTCACTTTCTATCTACTGAAGGGGATGAGATGTCCTCACAGACAAATGTAGGTCTTCAAAATAAATACACAGTGATGGGGAGTGGGAGGGGGAGGGAGAAAGGTCTCCCTGGAGTGAGCCTTACAGGGATTCAGAGAAAGGGAGGGGATGTGGGAAGATGTGGTTGTGGTTACATGTGGTTGTGGTTTGTCCTTCCTTCTTGAAGAAGATATGACAATTGGATTTGAGTGAGGGAGGGCTGTGCAAAGTCTCCAGAGCCATCTGGGTCCAGTGGCCAGATATAGATCAGGACAACTGGAGATGGCTGTGGATACAGTGGGAGACCTTGGCCTTTTTAAGCTAAGGTCTTTCAGAGTTCTCACTTTGACTGAGGCAACACCCATTCAATGAATAGGTCTGTTTAAGGAGTGAGTCAAGGGATGGCCCCTTTGATAATAATAATAAAAAAAAATCAAACTGAGAGGGGCAGACCCTCTGGGTTTTTGGCCAAAAGAAAAACACCCTGAGCCAGGAGGGCCCTCAAAATAACCACTAAGTGGTGCTTAGGCCCCTGCCTAAGCCTATTGTTGGCCAATCAATGAGTCTGAGTGAATTGGGCTTCAGGCATGATCTTTAAGACAGAAGTCTAGCCAGTCAACCCCAAGATAATTAGGTAGGTTTCAGCCATCAAAATTTACCTTCCTTTGGGCAGAACACCCTCAGGTAAGGTCATGGTACCTCCTGTGGGGAAAGGAGAGGAGGGAAGGGGAGGATGAGGTGAGCTGCCCAGCTGGTACCTAGGCACCACTTGATAGTTATTTTGTGGGCCTTCCTGGGCCCTCCTGGTTCAGAGTGAATGTGGAAAGTTGGAGGAAGGTAGCACTTCTAAAACTAAAAAAACACTATTTCCCAGACTCCCTGGATTCCAGTGATGCTGATGGTCGAGACCCCATGACCCACAGTATCAGAAGCACTGAAGGGATTGAGAGTGGGAAAAGTTGAAGAGATCCTGGATAGGGAGCCAACGGGAAGCCAGTTTGGCTGAGGATAGTGTTTAGGAGGAAGAGCTCGAGTCATCAGCCAGGAACAGATAGGCTGGAACCAGAGGGTGGCCACCTGTGCCTAAGGAGGGTTTGGCAATCAGGGAAAGGCAGGGGATGATCAGGGGCCAAACTCCTGAGGGGACTGATTGGGAGTCATGGGACGGGGGAGGGGCAGGCCCCGGGCATCCTGAGGCTCCAAAGCACTGGGGAAAAGGACGGAAGCTGGGGTGGAATAGGGGCAGGGGCAGGAGGCAGGAGAGGGGAGGAGGCACAGAGACAGCTCCCAAGGGGTTTGGGGAGCAGGCATTGACTTATGTGAAGGCAGGAGCCCCTTTCCACTCTCAAGGCCCAGGTCTCTTATGCTTGGCATAGGGCTAAACTCTGTAAGTTTCACCCAGTTTGAGATGTTTAGAGACTTGTTGGGAAGACAAGTGTGGGAAAGAAAGAGGGCCACACCTCCAAGGTCTCCTCCCCAGGCCTCCTGGCCCCTCCTTTTGACCAGGGCTGGGATCCATGATAAGGGGCCTGGCATTGTGTGTGGGCAGCAGCAGCCAAAGGTCAGCTAGAGACATCTCCAGGCCGCAGCCCACATGGCCAGCACCCTCCAGACTTCCTTGGGAAGTGGTTTTTGGCCCGGGCCTACATTTGCTGCCTTTGGAAATTTCAGGCCCTGGGTGTGAGAGTCCAGAAGGTTCTGACCGAGGCTGGCCTGATTGGATCTTCGTTTGGGGCGAGCTCGAGCAGAAGACCCTCCACCCCCACCGCACAAGGGGTAAGTGACCTGGTGGAATCGGCCCTTTCTTTGAGATGTGTTTGCCATTAATTGCAGTCAGATACATTGGGGGGATTTCTGGTTTAAGTACAGAAAGTTTTAGGAAGAGCCCGCCCTAGCCCTGGGAGCCCTTCAGTTCCTGAATGAGGGGAAGGAGAGGAAGGAGGTGGGGGCTGCCCCTTCCCCTCCCACAGTTCCTAGAATGGACCAAAGAGTGATTTGCATCCTCTCATTAATGAAGGAGACTCCCAGCAGATGTGGGAGAGCACATGTGAGCAGAACCCCTAGGCTGCCCCTCCCCGCGGGGCCCCAGCAGCCTCCTTTGTCCTGGGATTAGGGCCCATGTGACCATCCTCTCATTCACAACTCTGGCCCCCTGTGGCTTTCTTTTACAGTCAGTCCCCAGGCTGAGGGTGTGCTAGAGGTCAGACAGAGAGCGAGGGCCAGATTGGAGCCCACTGAACCAAAGGGGACAGCCGTCCAGGAGTGCAGCCCTCTGGCCAGGCCCTGCCAGCCGCCCGCACGAGTGACTCTTTATGCTGAGCTGTTTCTGTTAACGTCCTTGTCACTTTGGGCTCAGTTGATGAAAAGACACCCCGAGCGAGCCCCAGAGCTCTGAAGTGACCGCCGTATGCCCCCAGAGGCGCCCCAGCAGCCCAGCAGGAGGGGTGGCCATGAGCCAGGAGCTGGGGCCCAGGGGCTCTCCACTCGGCTGCCCAGGGAAGCATTGATGGCAGATGCCGAGCTGAGCTCACCAGACTAGACTTCATTCCTGAGGATGATACATGTGGAAGATATGGAATGTTGCCCTGGGGCACCCTGCGAAAAACGCTATTTCCCAGACTCCCTGGATTCCAGTGATGCTGATGATGAAGGAATACTGGCCTGTGAAGATTTAGAACTCAATCCTTTCGATGGTTTGCCATATTCTTCTCGTTATTATAAACTTTTGAAAGAAAGAGAAGATCTTCCAGTGTGGAAAGAAAAATATCCCTTCATGGAAAGTCTTCTCCAGAGCCAGATTGTGATTGTGGCCGGAGAAGCGAAATGTGGCAAGAGCTCTCAGGTGGGTACTTCCTGTGGGTGGGGGCCTGGCCTGGCCTCTCTAGTGCCACAGTTTGTTAACATACCAAATGGTTTTTCATTTCGGCTGAATACCAGTCTAATAATATTTATAAACTTCTCAGAAATGTTTGGCTGATCACTCAGTACAGGCCTTTAGAATGGCGCTGTAGCTCTAGCTACCAGAAATCTATCTAAATGGTTCCCGTGTACATTTTAGCATTTTAAAAATCTGATAGATGTGTTCCCCCTCAGGCTAGATGGGGAGCACTAACTGTTTCGCTCCTGTTCTCTACTGGCAGATCTTTGAGATAAGTGTTTGCCCTGTAAAAACTCAGAAGCCCCAGGAAAGTCAAACTGGGCAAACAACTGCCCACTGCTAGTGAGAGTTTGGTCACCAAATGGAGCCACATGTCCGCCCAGGCGTCATCCATGGAGCAGCTGCACAGTGTCATGAATGGGCCCTGGGGACTTTCTGGGTCAGGGAGAGCCAGATTTTAGACTAAAAACATGAACCAGGCAATGCCATGTTCTTCTAAACATCATTAGGCCCAGACCTGTGGGATTTTAGTTTGGGGAAGAACTTTGAAAGTCACCTGGTCTAGTCTCTCAGTTTGCGGAAGAGGGAAACAGTCGTGGAGAGGTTGATGACTTAGCCCCAGTAAGCCGGGCACTGGGAAAGCTGGGGTTAAAACAACCTGGAGCCTCCCTGTTGTTTCCATCTGCCTTTTAGGGGGAGAGGCCTGAATTCTACCCCAGGTTTCTCACTTGATTTGCACTCATTCACATTCCAGGGAACTCAGATGTTTCTGGTGAATCTTTTTGGCCCATTCAGTCCAAAGGAAATGGTGAGCAGAACTGACTGGGAGTACTTTCTGTGGCCCTTGGAACAAGATGCTTCCATGTGCTTTTTTCTGAGTTTTTGAACGTCCTTGTGCTCTATGCCCAGAGACCAGCAGAGTGTAAATGCCTGCTGTATCGGTATTTGCAGCATTCTTTTCAAGTCAATGCTTGGTGAGGTTTTAAAATTCTGTTCATCTCTTTTGTGTTGGGAGGGAGAATTCAGGGCAGTGAATGGCCCTAGCATCACAGAGGCAAAGTGGTAAGAAAAGAAATCCTTCTTAACCTGATGTGAATGTGTTATGGATTGGGCTGGTGTTCTTTGAAGAAACCCATTGCCCAGATGTGTTTACCTTTGCTAGACCTAGAATTAGGGTTGGTTTCCCCCCCTAAAAAACAGCTCAGTTGTTTTGTGAGGGGAAAAAAGTTAAACTTTAATTTTTGTTTTGTCAAAAGTTTAAAATTTTTAAAAGTTAAAAGATGTCTTCCTAGCCTTATTTCATTCTTCCCACATTTAACTGAGAGTTCTTAGGTCACTAGAGAGTTAGTGGGTAGGTGAAGGTTCTTTGAACCTTCTTGGGAGTCTCTGGCCTTTGCTTGTCTGTCCCTGGCTGGGTCTCCTTTTCTCTCTCTGGCTGTCTCTGCCTGGGTCTCTCCAGCTGTCTCTGTCTGGGTCTCTCTCTTTGGCTGTCTCTGTCTGAATCTCTCTTTCCTGCTGTCTCTGGCTGGTTCTCTCTCTTTGGCTGTCTCTGTCTGAATCTCTCTCTCTGGCTGTCTCTGGCTGGGTCTCTCTCTCTCTGGCTGTCTCTGTCTGGGTCTCTCTCTGGCTATCTCTGGGTCTCTCTCTTTGG